GTGGTAATAATAACTGCTGATAACTAGTTGTGTGGACAAGTCACTTCATTTCTTAGGACCTTTGTTTCCCTGTACAAAATGAGGAAGTTGAACTAGTAATGTCTAAGATTTAGGAGATACCCTTCATCTCTGCTATTCATTGATTAATTGGTAAAATTCATATTATTACTGAGCCTCATGTAAAAATGCTGCTTTTAAAGAAAAAAATTTTTTTCTTAAATAAAGCCATCAAATAGTTTACATGTGCCATGAAGTGAAGTCTCCGCATATGGGTGTGGAAACAAGAACATGTGGTCCTTTATAAATATGGGGCAGACTTTTGAGTGTGATGGGTCCCTCAAAGGTGATATAGAAATTTTAAGAATTCTTTCTGTTTGGCAGATAACATTTATGTGATACCTTGCAGTTTAAAAGGCGCTGATATATGAATTAATCTCACCTCATCCTCTTATAGATAACAGGAAGAATACTCTACCTTTTGAACTAGAAATTGAAGTAGAGGGAGATGAAAATCCTTGCTGAAATCACATGCTTTGAAAATGAAGTTGAGACCACAGTCTGCTTTTGTGTTCTATTTCCTAATGCCTTGCTTCCTTGACAGATCCTTATCTGGTCTTCCCCTTGCTCTGCATTGAATGGGCTATGTCCTTTGTGGGTTTTTTTTTTTTTTTACTAGCTCTAATTGTTAAAGTTTTCCTTTCAGTGAACAGGAAGCCCTAGCAGATTTATCACTTGGACAAAGACAGATGAGCCTGACTGGAGTCGAGTAGATTTAGAGCTCAGCATATTTTTATATTGAGTTTGCAGCAAACCCCTTTTCTGTAAAGATCACAGTGTTTACAAACAGTTGTACTGCTGCCATGTGATGGAGATGTCACCAGCTGGCATTCAGGGTGCTTTATAGAACAATCTTGAAAAGACATCTGAGTGAAAAATATTTTAGATGTTGCAAAATATTCTCTCAAATCCATATATGAAAAGAAGGTTTGGCTTCTCCTATAGATGTAAAATTTAAATACATATTTAAAATATTTACTAATGTAGTGCACATTTTGAAATCAAGCATGTTTGTTTTCTTTTAAACTTTAATGGAAATATAACTCACTACCTGAAAAGTGTTTAATTGTAAAAGTCCAATCCAATGAATGTTGATAGAGTGAGCGGGCCCATGAGATGAGCATTCAGAACAAGCAACAGGGTTTACTCACCCAAGACACACCTCATGTGCCACCCAGTCACTGCCCTTCCCTGCTCTGCCTAAAAGTAACCACTCTCCTGGCCTTGAACATTTTGAGGGATTTTTTTGCCCATTTTGAACTTTATATAAATCCAGTCATACTGTGTACACTCATTTTTTGTCCAGCTTCTTTTACTCAACAGTTTGTGAGATTAGTCCATGTTGTGTAAGATAGTTTGTACATTGTATTTGCCGTGGAGTATTCCACTGTGAGAATGTGCCTCACACTTCCCAGTTTCACTGCTGATGGCAGTGGATAGCATAGGACACTCTTACACATGTCTTTGATGAACATTTGTGCCCATTTCTGTTGGATATGCATCCCTTCAGGTTTAGTAGTGACTGCACACATTCTCAAAGTAGTTGTAATAGTCTAGTCCAGCATTTTCACACCCTCTCCAACACTTAGTATTTCTCTTTTCATTTTAACTAATGCACATAATTTAAAAATCAAATAGAACAGAAAGATTTGTAATAAGAATTACCAGCTTCCTGACCTAAGCAGGAAGCACCTATCTGTAACTATTTCTCTTTTTAGCAGCTGTTAAGAAGCATTATTAAGAACACAGATGCTTAAGCTCTAGAATCTTGGCTCTTCTACTTACTAGCTGTGTGTCCTTGAGCACATTACTTAGCTTCTCTGCTTTGGTTCCCTCATCTGCAAAATGAGGGCTAATTATAGTACCTGTCCCATGGAATTATCGGAATTAACTAAATTAATAAAAATGATGTCTTTTAAAAGCTTAAAAGGTGACCATAATTTGTTTTTTAACAGAGCTGTGTCATTTGTGATTTTGTTTATTATTTAATCAAATAATTCAAGTTAAACATTTACATAAGTATTCTTAGGAATGTGAATGTGTGGATTGTGTTCACTGGCCTGCTGAACAAACTACTTTATCCTATTGTTTAGTATTCTCATTTTACATGTAACACATTTTTCTGATTTTAGTATATTCTTGTGCAAAGACACTCTCAACAGATCCCTTTAGGCATTAATAAGCCCAAATTAGACTTTATCCCATATCATTTTCAATTCTCATGCCTGTGAGAAATATTCTGTTGACTTAATTTTGTCCTGGACAAGGAAGTGTGATCCTTACAGCAGCCAAATAACTTGGATTATTAAATTCAAAATTACTAGTATATGTAGTGCTACTTATAATTTTTTTAGAATACCATTTTATTTAAAAAGAAATTTTGGTGGTACTGAGGTTTGAATTTGTTAGACAAGTGTTGTACCACTTGAGTCACAGTCTAGCCTTTTTTTGCTTTACTTATTTTTGCTGGGGCCAATCTTAGACCATGATCTGCCTACCCTTTCCTCTCAAGTAGCTGGGATTATAGATGTGGACCACCATACCCACTTGTTTGTTGAGATGCCCAGATTGGCCTCCAATTGCAATCCTCCTAATGTCCACTTTCCAAGTAGCTGGGATTACAGCCAAGCACCCCACATCCAGCTTAGAGTAACAGATTTTTGTGTGTTCATCAAGAGCCATAAGACTTCTGAGTGAAAAGCACTCAACTATAGCATTGTATTAATATGACAAATACAGTTCCTAGTTTTCCTCCAATAATTTTGTATCTGTCTGCCTGAATCAAATGACTTTAAATACAAATTAGTGTAGCAGTCAGGAAGAACTGAAGGGGCTTCTGCTTTCTGTACTAGTTCAGAAACAGGAGAAAGCATGGATACTGTCTGTGTACATACTGGTGCTTTCTTAAAAAGGTTTTCCTTTAATCTGCTTTACTGGAAAACCATAAAACAGAATTTCCCCACCCCATCAGAACCTTCGAGACTAGATGGTAGGAGGCTACTCATATACCCCAAGTGTTTAGTTCATTGTTAGTATCGGGCTTTTATAAATCAGCTCATCATATCCTCGGGTCTTGGGGTGCAAGGCACCTTGTCAGCTGCTTGAGAAGCACAGAGAATCACGAGACTGGGCATAAGTGCACAGCAGTTTAAACACCTGAGATAAAGAGGAGAAAATTAGCGTGAGTGTGCCATTCTCTAGGATCTGAGGACCAGAATGGAAAGAAGCATGAGTCGGGCAGTACCAGAGGCCTGAAGGCCAGACTGTGCTTGGTATGGTGTCTTCTGGGTACACGAGCTGACTTCCTAGGTTAAGGGGTTCGTTTGTTTTTGAGGTGTTAAGGATTTAACTCGGCCTACAGCTTGAGTGCTCTAACACTTGGCCATACCCCAGCCCCTTTTGCCTTTAATTCATTTTTCAGAAAAGGTCTCCTTCTTTTGCCTTGATCAATCTCAGACTGCCATCCTCCTACCTACCTGTGCTTCCCAATTATACTCCACCATGCCTAACTTCTTTTTGATACACAGTCTCACTAACTTTTGCCTGAACTAGCCTCAAACTGTGATCCTCCTAAGCTATGCCACCTTTGTAGCTGGGATTACAGGTGTGACCACCATGTCAAGCATGTTTGTTGAGATGGAGGTCTCGTTAACTTTTTGCCTAAACTGGTCTTGAACCATGATCCTCCTATTTGTACTTCCCAAGTAGCTGGGATTACAGGCATTCACCATGCCTGGCTGAAAGGGATAGATATATGATTGGAAAGATTAATTGTGGTGTACTTTGAATGTGAAACTAAGATTTTCTGTCATTGCAGGGTGGGGGTTGCTGATTGGGGGTCTTCTTATGTTGTCTAGGCTGGTTTCAAGATCCTGGGTTCAGGCAATCCTCCTGCCACAGCCTCAGGAGTAGTTGGGAATATAGACATGTGCCACTATACCTACCTGATTATCTTTGTGTGTGTGTGTGTGTGTGTGTGTATCATCATTGGAAAGCCATTAAAACTTTTTGAGCAGGCTGGCAGGGTGGCTCAAGGGGTAAGAGCACCTGCCTAGCAAGCCTGACACCCAGAGTTCAAACCCAAGTGCCACCAAAAAAAAAACAAAACAACTTTTGAACAGGCACATGCCGTGGCTAGTGACCATGTGTAGGGTGAATTGAAAACTACAGGGTCTCATGTCCACTTTTCCCTCATTTTACTTGTCCTTTACTATTTTATGAAGGAGTATGAGTTCTGTTTCAAATTAAAGTTTTTTAAAGCCTACAATTATAACTCAGCACCAGTGCCTCCATTAAAACAAGAGTATTAACAATGAACATAAAAGTGCCCAAATAATTACTAGGTAACTGAGGTGTTACATATTTGGGCTTCTATGAAGTCAAACTTGCTTGAGTTCTGGCTTGGCCCCTCGTTATGTAAGGTTGAGCAAAATCTTAACCTTCCTAAGCCTCAATCCATCTGCAGAGGGAGATCACAGCGGTCTGTGGGGTGAGCACTAACAAGACAGCGCACGTGACACAGTTATCCATCACGTGGCAAGTCACAAAGATCCAAGGAACACCTTGCTGCTGTCAGCTGTTGGCACTGTTACTATTACTAGTATTTACTAATTGCTGGCATAGAACTGTGTGTTCTGAATTTTGATCTTCTACTATAGGAACATACTTCCAGTCTGGTCCAAAGACTTCAAGACCTACTGGCTGCCTCTAGATTATCCTGTTCCTTGTGCTCAGTGTCCTGGCCTGACAGTGAGGGCATACCACAAAGCCAGGCTTCCAGGGTGCTGTCGGGAGGCACCATTTGCTGCCAGTTGTGAGGAAGTGTGGCAAGCTCTGGTCTTGTAGAGCACATGCAGTATTGTTTTGTGTTGGTTTTTAAGCCAGTATATATTGTTATTATGCTTTGTTATTCAGAAGTTTAGCCTGATCTTTGCTTTTTTCAGGTTTAAGCCGTTTTTTCCATACCAAATCTTGCAAGGATTTGAAGAAGATGAAGAGCATATCCACATACAGCAATGGGCACTTACTGAAGGCCGGCTTAAAGTTACCTTGTTAGAGTGTAGCAGGTATGTTGTTTTGTCATGACTGTATCATGGGAAAGAAAGTGCACTGGAAATGTATTGAAGGAATATTTGTGTTTATTTCTCTTTCCTATTAATTTATGTTGTAAAATTTATAAATTCTTTAAATGTAAATTTAATAAAAGCAGACCTTTACAGCTTACAAAAAATATTAACTACATTTTTAAAAGTACTTTGATGGAGGGCATTTATTCTGTAATAATTCCCAAGTTTTAATTTATTTACTTATATTTTTTAAATTTTTTGATAATAATGGAACTTGAACTCAGGTAGGCACTCTATTGCCTGAGCCAGGTCTTCAGCCTTCTGGAACTTTTTAGGAGCATACTACTCTGTTGCATAGTTTTAGTCTACTTTGCCTGTTAGAGAGTTGGTCCTAGTACAAAAGTTTTGAGATTTGTGGTCATTGGCAAGATGCAGGAAGATGGCAGAACCAGATTTGGGAAATCAGCTTACCTAGCCTCAGTATTTTACCACCTGACCTCACATCTGGCTTGCAGTACTTGCTACACTAACTTTTCTCACTTTTCTCCTAACACTTTCACTCCCAATAGAACAGCCAGAATGGCCTTTAAATGCAGACCTAATTGTCACTCTCCTATTTAAAGCTTTCAGAGCTTCTTCCAAGTCCCTGTGCTCCTGCTGCTTTCTCACTGAATTCTGCCCATCCCGTATCTCGTACTGCTTAAGCTACATAGGCCTTCCAAAGGGACAGGGATTACAAAACTTTTTCTCTAAACTGTAGGTAGTAAATATTTCGGGCTCTGTGATTCACCTGGTCTCTCTTGCAGAACCCCGACTCTGCCATGTAGTTTGAAAGCAGTCACAGACAGTATGTAAATGAATGGGCATGACTGTGTCAGGAGAACTCTATGAGTTTCATGATTTTTGTGTGTTATGAAAATAATCTTTTGATTATTTCTCAATCATTTAAAAATGTGAAAACCATTAGTATTAGCAGCCCAAGGACTAGTTCATAGTCCTATGTTTAGATGTAAGCTCCTTATGTTGACTCTGCTATTTTCCTGGTTCTCTCTCTGCTTCTTGAAACCAACCTTCCCTGGTACAGCGCAAGGCTATCTCCTTAAAACCTCTGCTGGCCTTTTCAAGTAAAAGTATGTGCCCGTGGGGTTGCACATCCTCAGCACTTGGTTGCACTACTAACTTGGTACTTACCACTTTTTTTTGCTTCTAACCCATAATACAAATCAGTACTTGTACCGAAGCTCTATTTTGCACACATTTGTGTCCTTGCTAATAGGTTAAATTTGAATATACTAATAATATGTTAAAGCATTTTTTTAGTCCTGAGGTGACTCAGGATTATGCATCATTCTGTCAGAAAGTCTGTTGACAAGGAATTCTTTCTTTTATCGAAAAAAAGGTGGGGGGTGGACCCTGGTGGCTCATGCCTATAATCCTTGCTACTCCGGAAGCAGGAGGATCATGGTTTGAGGCCAGTCTCGCAAAAAGCGAGATCCTATCTCAGAAATACTCAACACAAATAAGGGCCGGTGAGTGGTTCAACTAGTAGAGCACCTGCTTTACAAGCTTGAGGGGCCCTGAGTTCAAACCCCAGTTACCCTACCTAAAAAGGGAGGGCTAAATATGCTGTATATTTTGTAAAGGGAGCCATAGTTTATAAAAAAAAAATAGGTATAAAGGTATTATGCCTGGTATTTAGAAAAATATTAGTCCTTTTGCCTTAGTGTTGATGGTGGGGTTATTGTTCTCTTGCCATATCTGCAGTACTGCATTAGACATTGATATGTATAGTCAGACACTATTTAGGTCATGTTGAATTGAGATAAACGATACAAGAAAAGCACTGGAAATTATGGGGTACTTTTAGCCTGCTTTATTTTAATGAGGAATGGTATACTGAATCTTGAAAAGAATACATGAGAAACTAGCAAAATTCTTATGGAGGAAAGAAGGAAAGAACTGGATAAATAATGATGATGGTCAAGGTGACAGCCAAACTTTTTACTATAAATGTCGGTATAGTGTTTGATTTTTGTGACTGTGTTACCTGGTCAAAAGCCAAGGACTAATAGACAGCCAATACTTTTACCTAAATGGCAGCTTAATCTTGGGAATAGGTACATTGGCTAAAGAATTTTCTAGTTTCTAGGCACTGTCTTTATAAACTCTATGAAGAAAAGTTACTCAGTCTTGTGGTGCAGTGTTATTTATTGTTCACATAGCTTAAGGATTACTTAAAAGTGTTTACAAGGGAGATAGGTTACTATTCTTAACTCATCCTAGGTTTTTATCTTCATATTCTTGTTACAAGCTCACCTTATTCCTCAGTGTAACAATACAACTCTAGGTTCAAATAGATTCTAAATTTGTAGGATTGTTTAGTTGTTACTGTTTTGAATGTAAGTTCATCCTTTGTGGCTTATTGTCATCCCCGAGGGAGAGACACTAGAGAAAAGGGAAGAGCAAGTGATAGTAACCCCCTTTTTAGAGAAAAGTCCAAAAATGCTTATAATTTCACATTTTGGAAACAACTTAAAGGCTTATGCCCTCTTGATATTTTTTTCTACCATAACTACTTAGTGATTTGCAAAAAAAAAAAAAAGTAACAATTAGAATGGTTAAAAAGTTTGAAAGAACATAAACCAAAATTAAGATGTTTCTATAGGCTTTTTTGTGTGTGTGTGTGTGTGATGCTGGGGTTTGAACTCAGGTCCTCAGGCTTGCTAGGCAAGCCCCTACCTCTGTAGACCATTTCTGTGTAGATAAGTTGTTCTGAATGAGCATGTCTGCTTAGTGGCTTTTAGGGTGTTGTTTGTTTTGCTGGCTTCGAAAAATATATTTTTTAAAAGTTCTTTTTAATGTTAAATATAATAAAAATACAGAAAACCACAGCAGCTGACATTCTGTACTACCAGGAGTCCTTCCTTACCCCCATTTATCTACTGTCATTACATACTCAGATTCCAGTTTTTCTTAATGGATATAATTTTTTAATGACCTTAATGATTTTAGTCCTTAAATTGTTCCAAATTTGGCAATTAGGAGCCTCCCTCAAGCTGACTTTTATGTGTTTATGACATGACCCCACCTTTTGTTGATTTATTTGCTTTTTTAGGACTTCATTACCTGCTGCTATAACAAGCTGTTATGTGTTTATCTTAGAATCAGTTATTTTTCTAAAAGGTCCGTGGTTCCTTTTCATAGAGCATGGTCTTAGAAACCAAGATCTGGGTATTGGTGTGTTTGTTGCTGATTCATATATTTATAGACTCCTTCAGCAGACCTTTAGGAAATACATTTAGGTGTATGTATATGCATATGTGTGTGTAACATATATACACATACATAATTTAGAAATCATGAGTAGTTTACCTGTTATGTCCAATTCCAATCCATCCTAATGGGGTTCTTCCCCCATTTTGTATCTCATGGCTCCCAAAAGCATCAGCACTTTTATTCATTTGCTCAGCCCTATAAATACATCTCACATAGTTTCAGATTTGCTTTGTCTATACAAGTACAAAAGCATACTATAACATATTAAGGATTCATTTTCAGTTCTGTTGACCCCACCCTACTACTTTGTCCATAAATTCACTCTGCTGATTGTCTACTCTGTCTTCTGTTACTTAACTCCCTCAAAGCTTCAGCTTTCTGCTGCTCAAAATGCACTAGTGTTTCCCTGCAGCCTTAGCCCTCAGCTACGCTTGGCTTGGATGGTTTGGACAGTGCCCTTAGACCAGAAAGCCAGAAGCTAGCAATTTGTACTCCTTCCAGATGCAATTTTTTTAAATTAAATATTAATCTTAATACAGGGTCCTGTTTGATTTTAGAAAGTTTTGTTATCTGTGTGTTTTTAAAATCATTTTATTCCAGTTCTTATAATTGCTGTCTGTGAGCGTTTGTGACTATTTCACTGCTATTACGTAAAGTACTGGTCATCTGGGTTTGCTGTAGATGTTGGTGTGTTTTGCTTTTGTTTTCTTGTTGATTTTGTGATTTTATAGATGGATTTAGGGAGACTCAACTGTGCTGCCAACCCAGGCATCCTTCTAGAACCAGAAATAGTTTTACAAAAGAAAGTCTTCAGCTGGCAAAGTGGCTCAAGTGGTAGAGTGCCTGCCTAGCAACTATGAGACCCTGAGTTCAAACCCCACTGCCACAACAAAAAAAAGTAAACAAAAGGAAGTCTTTACTTATGTGATTAAGTAATTCTTATTCTTCTCCTCCTCCCCTCCTCCTCCTCCGTCTTCCTTCCTTTTTGCTTCTTTCTTTCTTCTACTTCTTTTCTTTTTTGGGAAATCTTCAATATAGTCCAGGCTGGCCTCAAACTCGAGATTCTCCTGCTCAGCTTCCTGACTGCTGGGATTACAGCAGGTGAACCACCACATCAGGACACATTTTATTTTAATATATCACCTGTCTTGTTGTACATATTAGATGAAGCAGTTTCAAGATGAAAGTATGGCAGAAGGGAAAAACAGGGAATTAATCCTTTAGCTTAATTCATGTCCATATTTTATAGTAAAATATTTAATTCTTCTGCATGGAAGGCTGCTAATTATGTAGGATTTTGAAGTTCATTGATAAGAGGAGCTGATTTAGGTGTTATGGCCACAAAATATTTCTAGTTTGCATTTGTTTGTGACTCCTCCAAGACTTTCAGATAGGACAAATAATGCTTTGTGTGCTTTACATTTGCATTGTTAAGAATATTAAATATTTGTGATATTTTAACATTAATGATTTTATTTGGAATTCATTTTGTCTTAAGTTATCTTTTAATATAGTCTGCCATCAAATGTCCATATCAGAAAAAGATCATGTTTACACTTATTGAAATATATAATCTTGTCAGAGTATTATATTGGTTCATAGTAACAGTAAACCAAGAATTTGTTGCTATATCTTTTTTAACATGTCTTTGAAACTTACTATGACCCTATCACAGAAAATGATTTTGTTGCACACACTGTTTGTTTTTTAAGCAGTTTTATTGAAAAAACTCAGGTATACATCTGATTAGCTTTTATTTGCAATTCATAAATCATCCATTTTATAAAACAGCATGATGGTCCCCACTGAGCAGTAGCGTAACAGTGGGCTTCATAAAGTGGGAACAAAGAAACAGAACAACAAAAAGCTACTTGGTTCATTTCAGGTTACTGTTTTGTGAAGGTTAAAACAAAGGGGACTTCCTATTACACTGGTTTACAGAGACTGAAATCTGCTGTTTTCATGAAAAACCTGGGGTCTGTTTTTAGATCTATATGCTTCCTTAAAGTTTCAGTTTGATTATGTGATATTTAACACGAGTGACTCCATTTTGGCTTATTCTGTTTTGCTGGGTCTTAGTGTAGTAGCTCAGTTTAAAACAGTGGTCTCCCATTTTTCCATTAATACTACTCTGCTTTCTGTCTCTATAACTTTGCCCATTCCAAACATGTCATATGCATGCAGTCTATAATATGTATTCCTATGTGACTGGCTTCCACTTAATGTGTTTTCAGGGCTCATCCATATTGTAGCATGCTGCAGTACTTCTTTTCATTTTGTTGCAGATAATATTCCATTGTATGATTATGCCATGTTTGAATTGTTAGCCTTCTTGGACTATTTGAACAATGCATTCTTGTGTGAATTTTTTGTGTGAATATGTGCTTTCATTTCTTTTGGTTACATACCTAGGAATAGAGTTGCTAGGTCATGTGCTCACTCTATGTTGACTTCCTAAGCAGTTGCCAAACTATTTTCCAAAGTGATTACCATTTTACATTCCAATGAACAATTTATGGAGATGACAGTTTCTCCATATCCTCACCAATACTCTCAGGTCATGTTTGTTAGAGACAGTCTAGCAGGTTTGAAGGGGTTTCCGTTGGTAGTGATGCCCAGCATCTTTCTGTGTACTTGCTAGTCATTTGCATATCTTTGAGAAGAACATCCTTTGCCTGTTTTTAAATTGGGTTATTTTACTTTCTGTTGTTGAGTTGTAATTGTTCTTATTTTTTTCTGGGTACTAATCCTTTATCAAATACATGATTTGCAAACATTTTCTCCCAGTTTCTGAATTGTCATTTCATTTACATAGTGGTGCCCTTTGAAATACAAAACTTATTAAATGCAAACTCTAATTTATCAGTTTTTCCTTTTGGTGCTTGTGCTTCTTGCATCATATCTAATAAACCACTGCCTAGCCCAAGGTCAAAAAGACTTTAGTTCATATTTACTTCTAAGAATTTTATAGTTTTAGCTTTTACATTATGTCTGTGGCCATTTCAAGTTAATCTTTGTTATACTTCGTATTACTATTTTTCTAAAAAACGTTTTTTTAAAGCACTATGAAAAATATGGAATACCTTATGGTTTCAGAAAGAATTCTGCTTTCTTGTTCCTGACTCGTGAGTATTAACACGTGTCAGGAGTTTGAGACAGTAGTAACTGGTACCTGGCCTTCTCTGCCTGTTAGTGAAGGCCCTGAGGTAGTTTACTCTGTGAACAGACGGTGGCAGCAGAGATCCAGTGAATGAAAATTCTAGTTATTCCAGACTTCATATTATAAAGTTATGAATCCTCTTACTGTATTTATTCTGCCTTCCTTTTGGTAATAAGGTTGTTAGGCATTACCTTTAAAGTTCCTCTGAAGATTCTTTAAGCGTTATTTAAATTTAGGGATTTTTTTTTTCATTAGTTTATGAGGTCAGTTTGTGATGTGGAAATGTGGTTTGCTTGAGCTCTCCAAACTTAGGACAGTTTTCTCAAGTTTTTCTGATGTATGTTATCCACTTTTCTTTCATTATCTTACTCTTGCCCATGATGTTCCTGTAGAATAAAATAATAGTTAACAGTTAAAATGTTGACTGATATTAAAGCTGTTCTCAAGCTCACTCCTGAAACAAATTAACACACTGCAATCTGATTCTGAGGATAAATAATTCAGAAGTTGTACACATGATAATCTTTCTTTTCTTCAGTAATAAGAACTTTTATATAATCTCAGAATTGTACTTCAGATGTCCTTTTTATACTGAATATTAAACAATACAATTAAGTGATATCATTATTCCTTGGAAATGGTTTTCAAGATAATAATAAAAATAATATTTATTGATCACTTACTATTTGTTAGGCAGCATGCTAAATACCTTGTGTATATTTTCTTCTTTTACTCTCAAGACAGTTTTTAGAGGTAAGTTGTTTTTGCCTTACATTTTGCAGAGAAGGAAATGGGTTTAAAGAAGTTAAGTAGTTTGACTGGGGTTGAATTAGGGAAGAGAAAAAGCAAAGGAGAATATGAATTCATAAGTACTTACACTCCTGTATGTTAAATTTTACAGAGATGACATACATATTATATGTATCACTCTGCAACTTTTTTTTGATTCAACAGTTTTGACAATTTCTAGCATTGTTTATTGCATAGAGATATTGATGAACTTCTTTTCCCCATGAATAGATAATATTCTGTTATTCAGACAAATTGAAGTATTTGCTTTGAAAACACAGCATGTCCTGAAATCTCTTCTGATTTTAGTCTTCTCTTTTCCACTAGAGGGTGTAACAAATGTTCGGTTTAATTTTTTTTCTATTACTGAAGTTATAATAATAATGAAATAGTGTATCACTTCTTGCTATAATCATCAGAAAGAAAATTGAATTTTATACAACTGGCATAATGTTCTCTCTGCTTTTTTGTACCATAGGTTACTCATTTTTGGATCCTATGACAGAGAAGCAAATGTTCATTGCACACTTGAGTTGAGCAGTGGTGTTTGGGAAGAAAAGCAACGGAGTTCCATTAAGACGGTAAAATGGGTTTGCATAGTTCTATATCTGTATAAAGTCTTATTCTACATGATGCTTTTATTAGTATTTCTGTATTTCCACATTATTATCGGTCACAAGCAAATAGTTAGGACCTTCTTAATTTGTCTTGCTAACAATGAAATATCAGCAATATAATAAACCATATGAAACTAGGTGTTCAGACTGCATAAGAACAAAGTCTTACGTAGTTTTCCTTTCAGAACTTTAAAATTGTTTCAGTAAGGGATTAGGAGGAATAAACCTTAGAAGTCATGCCGAATTCATAGCATTCAGTCAGTCAGCAGTATTTTGTGAGCACTTCCTTTGTGCTATGCACTATCTCACGTGCTGGGGAAATAGTTCAAGACAAGAAGAGATGCTGTTCCTGTGGCACTGCAGGCACCTGTGAGGTGTGGTGTGGCATGGATGATGGAGGAAGTTGAACTGCCTATAGTGCAGAGAGAATGAATAAGCCAAGAAGGAGAACAAAGTTACTTCCAAAAATGAACAAGTACTCTGAAGAAAACACTGTTATGACAAAGAGGCTCTTTAGATCTGGGGATCATAGGGACAGGCGTCTACAGAGATGACACCAGAGCAGGCTTTCCAAGGAAAATATAGGGTGCCCAGTTAAATTAAATCTCAGGTAAGCAGTGATTTTTTAGTATAACCATCACCTCAGTATTTCAGAGTGAAGGTCAAAATGCTGCTAAATCTTTAGTAGGCAATCATAAGGCCCTTTTATGAATGTTCCTTTGACTTTTACATTGTTTCTTATTTTTTCATGCCATAACTGTTGTGAACATCTTTACATAAAAATTAGGTGGTGTGAAATTCTTTTGGAAGAAACAAAGTAGTTTTGATTAGTGGGGAAGTTAGGAGAAATGAAATTAAAGTGGCTCACTCATAGAGTTTGAATTTATGAAAGTAGTAGGACCTGTTAAAAATTTTAGAGGTTTAAGCAAAGTTTCCTTTTTCTTTATTAGCTGTTCCAGCCTCAACTTTCTTTTAAGTTATATATCAAGCAACTTGACACAAATTGAATAAAATAACCAGCTTTATGGTTTGTGCTGAAATACATGGCTACATGAAAAAATATCATTTTGTCTGGATAAATTTTTGGCTTTTTTTTGAGTTGGTTGTAACTTGCCATTACTGTTGACATTTTCAATTTCTCTTTATTATATTTGCAAGGATATGAGATTAGACAGCTTTAATATTTCATAGCAAAGGTTAGTAAGACTTTAATCTTGAATCATTATCTTAGCTCCTAGCATATGTCACAGAAAGAATTCTGGGTTACTAAGTACATCTGGTGTTGAAAATGTCAACAATATCTACAAGCATTACTTTACAAATATCTGAGTTTAATAATGATAAGGAAGAGATTAACTTTTCCAAGACAACATAAAACATCAGAGAATAGGATTCGACACTGGAATATATTGCAGATTTGGATAGAAAGTAGTGCATCATTCAAAGCATGCTAAATCATTTGATGAGTTTAGGAGGCTCTCTTTATATAAATACAGTATTCACAGTTAAAACCACTTTTTTAAACGTTGAAATTTGTTAGGTGAATTTAACCACCAATTGCAATGAATATGAAGTATAAAGGAAATTCAGTTCTTTCCATATTTCAATGTTGAAAGCATTACAGTACACTAACCAAGGAACCTGGCTTCCTTCTCCATCATCCTTAGCATGGGGTTTGTGCTTATGGTTATAAGATGGTTAATGCAGCCCTCACTATCCATCTTTGAGGGAAAAGGATGAGTTTGAAGGCAGACCAAAGGCACATGTCAGCCCAGTTTTGTCCTTACCTGCTTTTCTCAGAGGTTTCCCAGGGATTTCCACTTAAAAGCCTCATTGTCCAGAACTGGGTCAAATGGCCTCCTCTAGCAGAAGGAATATGGAAAGTCATTTTCTTAACTTTTCTAGAAGTGGAAGGCAAGGAAGAGTGGAGTTGCAAATGGCTTTTAGATGGCTAGTGCACAAGAAAGCAACCCAAATCTATTTGATGACTTTCTTTTTAAAGGAGTTTTTCATAAATTAGAATATAAGGGAAAAATGGGAAAAGTGATTTAACAAATAGCCTATGTAAAGCCTACTTTTAACATACCTTATGAAACATCTAAGGAAAGTTTAAAGAAACTCATACACTCTTGTCACTGCCCTGCTTAGCTCATTTGCAGAATAAGAGTTCATAGGATAAATGAAGAACCTGTTTGTTCTATAACAGTAACAAATAAGAAAATAAAAAAATTATTTGCATGAAATGCAAATAAATTAGATATTAGACTTGTCAAAAACTAGAAGATCAGCTTGCAAGAGATGGTTCAGTTGATACTAAAAATACCTATACTTACAACAAAGAGAGATGGTACATTTTTTGATATATTTCATTCTCCTGCAATATTCAAGTTTGGTGATGAGAATTTACTGCTCATTCACCAAGTAACAAAGTTAAGGAGTTTTAGGTTTTAAAAAGTTTTAGGCCAGAATATTTTGATAGTAAGCTATGAAAACAACTGTGTATCAACAGAATTAATAGTGTTTATCAAATAAAATTTATAATTAATTAATCCGGCATATAATAAATCATATACACAGTAGTCCTCCCCTTATCTGAGATTTCCCTTGCCACAGTTTTAGTTACTTGCAGTCAAGAAGAAGGGCAAACAAAGTATAATGAGATATTTTGAAAGCAAGAGAGATAGATTATAATCACATAACTTTTATAATCATATCACACTAGTTCTATTTTATTAGTTATTGTTGGTAATCTCTTACTGTGCCTTATTTATGAATTAGATGTTATCATTAATAGGTATGTATAAGAAAAACATAGTTATATATCTATTTATATATATGTATGTATTAGGGGACTATCTGCAATTTCAAGCATTCCCTAGGGATCTGTGGAATGTATCCCCTGTAGATAAGGAGAGATTACTATCATCATTGTTATGTGTGCTTCAAAGCAGACAGGTTACATAATGTCACCTTGTTTCCAAGAGAGGCATCCTAAGTCTTAACCCTTCCAGTTTTGGAGTTTCATTGGCCACCCACTGACTTTACCCCTAGCCAGACATAAAATAGGTTACTAGTAAATGTTCTTTTTTCCTCTCTCTCACTATTTTGACTGTTCTCCCTGTGCCTTGCCTTCTGCTGTGTATGCAGCCTGGCACTTGATTCTTCAAACTTCAAACTGATTGTTCTAATCTCTGTCTGTCTTAGAATGCTTGAGGCCACTTGGGAAGAAGAGGAAGGTACCATGAAAATGAACTATGGAACCTGAGAATCTGGTAGTTGTGGGATGAAAGAAAAGGATTTGGGAGCAAGTGCAAGCACCTAGCTATACTTTCATTCTGAATAAAAATAGGATGTAAGAACTTCTGATTTTTAAAAACAAGCTTTTATATATAGTTTCTTTTTGTGGTGCTAGTGATTGAACCTGGGGCCTCACACATTCTAAGCATGTGTGCAGCCACTGAGCCACATCCCCAAATCCACATTTTCTGATGCTGACCATATCCCTCTCCTTACAACCTATTACAGTCTGCATTCAGACACTTGATAGCAATTGCCTTTCATAAGAGACCAAGTCTCCTTCTACAGTTGGACAGAAGGTTAGAAATCCAAACAACATTGGCATAAAGTTGTCACTACAAACAGTAAGGATGAATGTGAATTTCCTCCTGTTTTGAAATGGAGAAGGAACTACCAAGGAAGCTTCTGAGTCTTTACTATAGAGTAGATAAGTAGAGAGCGATTAGAACAGTTGTTCTGCATGAATTGAAAAATAAAGTATCTCATGTCCTGTGTAGCCCAGTGTGCAGGGTGAAGGCAGGAGGTCATGTCATGAGATTGCAGTTCCAGAGTTAGATTACTCAGCACTGTGAAGCTGGAAGAATTCACCTTACAGACTCTGAACTTTTGTCTTTCAGCTTGACTTGAGTGGACCTTTCCTTCTCTCTGCTGCTACTTCCTTACTGAAGTCTTGTTTTTCTGAAGAATCTGGTTCTGAGAAGAATTGATCACCAGGCTTTCTTTAACTGCCTGTAGGCACATCATTATAAAGAGCTGTTTTAGGAGATGATGCTTACTCTAAGAACCAAAATCTAACATAATCTGGTACTTTAGAGTCTAAGAAACACTTTGTTAGTTTGTGGTACTGGGGTTTGAACTCAGGGTCTTGTGTTTGCTAAGCAGGCACTCTACCATTGAGCCATGCCCCTGGTCCCTTCTTGCTTTAGGTTATTTTTCAAATAAGTTCTCATGTTTTTGCCCAGCCTGGACCATAGTCATCCTGTTTATGCCTCCTGTGCAGCTGGGATGACAGGCACATACCACCACACCCACCTAATTGGTTAAGATGGAATTTTGATAACTTTTTGCCTGGGTTGGCCTCTAACTGGAGTCCTCCCGATATTCACCACCCAAGTAGCTGGGATTACAGGTGTAAGCCACTGAGCCTCACCTATGAAATACTTTTTCCCATGCACAAACAGTTAAAGTTTTCTGACTATAAGATCTGTACTTGTTCTAGCTGGGTGTGGTGGTACATCCCAGTAATCCCAGCTACTCTACTAGAGGTAGCGCTTGGGAGGATTATGGTTTGAAGACAGCCAGGGAAAATGTTAATAAGATCCCATCTCAACTAACAAGTTAGGTGTGGTGGAGTGTCCCTATCATCCCAGCTACTGGGATGCACAGGTAGGAGGATCACAATCCAAGTCCAACCCTCAATAGCAAGACCTATCCAAAAAAAATAACCAAAGGAAACAGGCTGGAGGCATGGGTCAAGTGATAAAGTACCTGCTAACAAGTTTGAGACCCTGAGTTTAAGAAGTACTGCCAAAAAAAAAAAAAAAAATCTATACTTGTTTTACTAAATTCCACTATCTAACAAAAACTGCTCTATGAAATGGTATTCTTACAATTAAGTGACAGGTTAGGATTGGTGATCCTAAGTAATGGGATCATTTTGCAGTGAT